GTCGCGGTTGGCCAGAAGAACCGCGACTAAAGGTCCTCCGCCCCGACGGCCGCCTGGCGCCCACGTGGACGGGCCTTTAGTCGCGGTTCTTAAGCAACCGCGACTAAAGGGGGGGCCTTTAGTCGCGCCTATTTGGTCGCGGTTGCGCAACCGCGACTAATGGCAGTTGCGAACCGCGACCAAAGGCCATTTTTCCACCAGTGTCATGTGGTGGAAATAAACATTTATCCTGGATCAATGAGTGGGATATTTTGTACTGAAGGCCTTCATAAATAATGACTGTATATGGTGCATGTGATGTGTTTTAGTTTCAAAATATATTGCACCCAGTAGATCAAAATATACTTATTTATGTTTTTAATATTTCAATTTCAAATAGACCCGGGATCAAAGCCAGTTTGATTATGTTCCAATCATGAAGCAGAAGCACTTATGAGGCCAAAGCTTGCGCCTAGGTGGAGAAATCAAGTTGATATGTCCAATGATCAATCAATTTTCTTCACATCACGCGAGTAGTGACTGTAACAGATTTCATTACCGTGATCCAAGTTCTTGAGATGAGAACAACTGTCCGGAAATGCCAATCAGAACACATCCGTTTGAGGAGTCAATTAATTGAGAAGAAACAAAAACTAGGGTCCAATCAAATCATGTTAACCCACGATTGTGACAGAGAAAGGAAGAAATAGTCGATTGTAAGGACGGTCTCATGACCACCCAACCCATCTGACAAAGAGTTGGTATTAGTACAAATAAGCAAAAGTTTGTGAAAGACAAAAACATGACCACCGATTAGATTTCTCTATTCTTTCCTCCTCGCCAAGAAAAGATTACCAAGGAATTAGATTTCATACTCCTCCCATTGGCGCTGCCGCCAATCTGACACGCCTCCGATGTCCTTTGGGCCATGGAGGTGCGGAGGACCTGCCCCCTCCCCCCTCCCCCCCGACAGCGGGAGGCGACCTGCTCTCATTCTTTTTAGGTTCAGTGTCTTGGTTGAGTTTGTGAGACGGCGACGATGTCAATCAGTAGGAATAATGTCTACCACGTATGGTCCCCACCCCAATGGTGAATCGAGCATCATCGAACGGCATATGGAGGTGTGTTTTCGTCGGATCTCGTGAATTTCATCGGTGTTGGTTTCCAGGGGATCTGTTTGGTCCTAGTCTTTGTTCGTGTGTTTAGGTTCGATCCTTTGTATCTACGACTCTCTTCATCTGTGATGGTTACTACTCTACACTACTAGGAAATACCTTATATGTTGCAGCTTAACAATAGTGGTCGGTAAGAGCCACACGTTACTCCTAGTACGCTGGTTCTATGGGGCCGTAGCACGAGGAATTTTCGACTGTCTACTATAACAAGTTTTGTCCATCTCCAGTGAAGGAGGGACGATGATAGCTGCGCGTCTTCGGCTCGGTTCAATACTTGTAGTTGTCGCTAGGTGGTCCATGTACCTTGTTGTAATTTTCATTACTTATGGTGTTCTCTATACTGTTATGATTGATTAGGAATAGACTGGAAGTTTCTCTTTAAAAAAAATACAAAAACAGGACCAACGAAGAAAAAGAAATGAGCTTCGCTGGGGCTAAGTCGTGGCTTATTAGATTTGGTTGTCCGAATGTATACAAGTGACTTGGCAGCGTGTGGACCGATCAACGGAGTAGGCCAGCTGCGACGACGAGTCTGTCTTCGCGTCTCATTGACCGATTGGAATAACAAGAAGCGACATGAGCATGAACCGGCACAAGTCATGTCATTGAGACTCCTGAAGTACCAGCCTCCAATAAGATGATGCACCATTTGTCGATGCCTAATTCTTATGTGGCCATTCACGAAGCCTTGGCTAACCTTAGCTTGGAGGCAAACTAGCCGCACAGACAGAGAAATGGTTTTTGAGCCTTGTGCACAAACTTGTCATGATTACTAAACGCTATCAACAATGTGTTTAGCCCAAGTGCCAGTGAACCAGGGAATGTTCTGCCAGCCTCAGAACTGAGTCATTAATCCAATCTAAGTATTCCTTTTCCGATGTCGCCTATTTTTAAGCTAACTTTTCTGGTCACCTTGCATTTTTTTTACTCTAGGAATTGGTGTATGATAGAAATGCATTGAAATAACTCGTGAACCAGGGAGAGAATGCACTCGCTTGGTTGTGATATATATAGCCATTGTTAGTCCCACATGTTGTGGTGGAGAGAAACATTTATCCTATATATATAAGTGGATGAGATATTTAGTATGGAATTTCTTCATAAATAATGGTCCTCGTATATGGTGCATGTAATGTGTTTTGATTCAACTTGGTCCATGCCTATCACGATTGTTACAAATATCAATGAGCCAACACATTATGTTCTCTTCGTTTTCACTAATACGTGCATGTAATCCAAATTCAAATATCAAAGTTGATACTTTTATCTAATAAGAGACAACTTTTATTAAACCAGGGTAAAGGAGTTAATCGCTAATTTTGGTGTATCCATACTTCATGGATAAAATCCACCTGGCATAATATCCCCATACAACGGATTAATCCCTGGAAGTTAGGATCATTGCTGTGGACATGAACAGCAAGATGCTGCAGAGTGTTGTTCCCTTTGGCATCGTAGAAGACCCATTTAATTCTATCATGGATTGCATGAACTAGCAGTCAGCAGTACTGTAGCTAATAGTACTAGCTTCAATAGTGTAGTATCTGATGGAACTTGGAGAGTGGAGAGCATGGCAACCTATGGCAGGAATAAAATCAGCAAGAAGATGATTTTCTTAATATTGAATTATGAAATCAACTGATGCCGGGTCTTGTATGCAACTGTATCTGCTTCTGACATCCAGTCAGTGGCATTTGACTGATAGATAGAAGACATGATTTCCGATGTTTGTGGTTCGTCGACAACTTGTCGAACATGTTAGTACATTTTTTAATAAAGTACCAACTTTATTGACTCTCCAAAAAAAAAACTATTAGTCTAGAACAAAAAACTAAAGGTGGTTGTTGCTTGATATTTTTTTCTGAGCAATGCTAGAGCATTTTTT